TCCTGCACCGTCCAGATCTCGATATGAATGAGGGCCCAGATCGGCCAGAAACTGTATTTCTCCCGCCCTGAATGCTGTCTGGGTACCTGCACACAGCAAGTGAATGTATCCGTCCATAGGCCTGGGTACGGTACCTTTGACTCTACAGTTGTCTTTGACTGTTGAATTTCCCTTGTGCTGCGTTTGGTCACACAGCCTCCTCGACAGACTCAGGCTGGGCATGTCTCGGTCACATAGCCCAGCACAGACAACTGAGTCTGTGTCTTACCGGGGGCAAAGTTCTGAGCCCCGGTCTGCTGTTGAACAGGGTTACTGCAATAATATTGTATATACATTTTTTATTTTTTTGGCGGGGTAGACGCTGACCAGCCGACCAGTCAAGGGGCACCGACCGTCGGGGTATTCAACATTGCTCTGCTGGCATTTGTGAAATTTCTGGAAATTTCGGAAATTCGAATGTTGGCGAAATTTTAATATGATGTCCACTCAATGAATTGTTAGAAAGTTTGGTTAAAAAGGCCTTTGGGTTTTCTTTAATTGACAGGACAAATTGTCTGAAAATTTGGGCCGCTGATAACCATCTGTCGGTATCCATCCAGCATGTTGACGAGTACTTGAATTTGGACGTAAAAGCTCAATCTCGACAGAAATGACTCTCTATCTAACATGCGTGCTGGTCATGCACCAGTTGGTCTTTTTTCCATTTGGCACGGGGGTTGGAAGGGGAGGGGTTAACCCCTGAGGATTTGAAGTTTGAATACATGACCTGTTGTCTAACAGTTACATGTCTGTACCATTCAGCCAAATGGGCTGGGTAATTGCTTCCGCTTCTCCCCCGAGCCCACAATTGGTTCTTGGGCGCCCAAGCCGGCTATGTTTTTGGTGACTCTGATACAATGTTTGGAATCATGATTGTTTCTCGCAGGTATCTACGTGATTTTGAAATGGAGACGATTGGGATGAAGCCAACTGGAAGGAACTGTACTGCCCAAGGATGCAAGGGGAAGCTTTTTGACACAACTCTGGACTGGGAGGTGCATGCACTTTTTCTTTCTGAGTGTTGTTCAAATCCAAAGAACAGGGCGTATTGTATTGGGTCCTTTTGAGGAAAGAATGCTAGACTGTGAAGTTTAACTAACCTTAAGGCTTTAACGTTCAAACCCGCGTCGTCATGCCCCCGTGCGGTGGGGAAAAACTAGATACAGCTCACAGAAAATCTGGTAGATTTCGGTTGCTCCTTGTCCTTTGTAGATTTCGGTTGGCCCTTCCTGGTGTGCTTAGTCATATAGGTAGGTCGAGTGAGGTATACTTAAGAGAATAATGTAGCTTAGTGCTATAAAAAGAAAAAGGGTTGCATACCTGCCGACCACCGACCGTGACCGCCGACCGTATTGCAGCGGACGGGTCGGCGGTCTGCCGACCAGTCAGAGTTTTTTTCAAATCTGAGTGGGGGGCTGTACTGCGCTTGCTGAGTACAGCCCAAATCTGCTGAGAAACTTTTGGTAAGAATCGTAAGTCGCTTCTGATTTTTCAAAATTCAAGGAGTAAGGTTTTGAGGAAGTGTCTCATCCAAAGTTGCTCAAAATAATGTTTTGGTACAGTTCACATTCACAAATATATATTTTATCATTTTTGAATGATTTTTCTAAAATTTTGGATTTTTTTTTGTGTTTTTGGTTTGCATTTCTTTGGTGTGCACACACGCCGTGTGCGGTGCATGTGCGGTGCGGCAGTGCGCCATATGTATTCAAAATTCAAATGCACGCACGGTGTGCTCTTGCAAATACAGTTTACAACTTAAACATGTCAGCACAGGAGTCCACAGTTGCGGCGCTGTGCGCCATGCGTGCACGTGCATGTGCGCGGGGAAAAAAAAGAAAAATGTTGTGCGTGCGTGTGCGCGTGCGTGTGCGTGTGTGTGTGCGTGTGCATGTGTGTGTGTGTGTGTGTGTGTGTGTGTGTGTGTGTGTGAGTGAGAGAGAGAGAGAGAGAGAGAGAGAGAGAGAGAGAGAGAGAGAGAGAGAGAGAGAGAGAGAGAGAGAGAGAGAGAGAGAGAGAGAGAGAGAGAGAGAGAGAGAGAGAGAGAGAGAGAGAGAGAGAGAGAGCTCATGATGTGTTCAATTGTGTCAACTGTTTCAACAAGGGTTACATGTGCATATCGTTCAGACAACTGCCAAGCACAGGATGTCTTGGAGTCTCCTACTACTACATGCCTTTGACAGCAAGGAAAACCAAATTAGAGGAAGTAGACGTATAAGGCTCATGGGTTACTGCATACTACAGTGCATCGTATCATCAGTGTTCCATGTTTCGAAATCTGAATTATTCAGAAGTGTGCAGACGGGTGTGTCTCTGAAGGTGTGTGTGTGTGTGTGTGAGAGAGAGAGAGAGAGAGGCCTTAAACTCACTTTCCTTCTCTTTTTCAGAAGGGGCTTAGCATAATTATATCCACGAGGCAGGGTGTTCCATGACACCTTGCACTTTTTCTTTTTTTTTGGGCGGACCCTTTTTTTTTTTGGTTTTTTTTTTTTTGTGCCGCATCGGGTGCAGTGCCTGTCGATTACAGCTAATAAAAACCGAAAAGGAGCAAACCGAATTTTGTTTCGTCCCTTCTTTGACAGTGCTAAGCAACATCGCACCGTTGAAGCAGGGCTGGCTTGTGATTCCAGTGCATCATTCCACACCAGAACTTCCAGACTGAAGGCCATAACGTTAGCCATTTGCTCATTCGGCAGAACTAAGGGATAGCCTTTGGTACCCTTTGTGGCCCCTACATACCCTTTGTTAGGATCCTGTGAGTCAAGTAAATTACAGATCAGTATTGGCACTCCTGGCGGCAAACAATAAGCACATTACGTTAAAGCTGGGAATGCTAAGATGCTCCCCACCAATAGACTGGAGCCATCTGGGCAGGTAGTACTGCTGGAGGATGCTCATATCAACTCTGGCAGTAAGGCCCACAGATGTTGAAAAGTAGAAATAAATAAACAAATAAGTAAAGATATGTAGGATCGTTGTGAATCTCTTTTCATGTGCCAGTCTGACAATTGCGGTGTGACAATAAAACGAGTGTGTGCTCACTAAGGTTTCCTGTTTCATTATGTTGATGGATTTCCAGGATGAGCTGCCTCCAAATGAGCTTAAAGCAGCCGAGAAGCACTGCCAGAATGCTGACCTGGTATTATGCTTGGGAACTAGGTGAGCACAGTGATACCTGGTGTGCCTTCTTGTTGATCCAAAACTGTGCAGAATTCTGACCAAGAAATGATGATCCTTGCGTTGGTGAGCTATGTTATGATCCAGACGGCCCGGGACCCTAGGGGTTCACCCATATCCCATCCGGGCCGTCCTGGTCAGGCAAGGGCCGGAAAAGGCCAAGCAGTCCCACTGCACGAAGAGAAAAAATACAAAAGAAAAACAAAAATGCAAAACAATCCTAGGCTGGGCCGCCGCCCGGCCGGGTTGGCCCAGGGGGGTCCGCCCAGAAATCCAGGCGGCTCCAAAACCCAGCAGGGAATTTTCTATTTTTTTTTGAAGGCGGGGTTTTGCTGCGGCTACCCCAGAGGACCCCGAAGCTGCAATAAAAAAGTGAACTTGGGGGGGTTGGGG